CGCTGCTGTGAATGCAGTGTAATTAAATGCTCGATGGGAGCCTGGATGTTTTTTTTGCCCTGCGTTCGGAAGTCACGATGTGGCCCAAATACAATCAGCCGATCTTTTCTCCCAAATTGTTGATAATTGCTCTTCAGAACCATTCATTGGGATTTCCATCCATCCGCTTGCCTCACTCTCTTTGTTCTGCAGTATTTCTGTGTCCATTCCATCAGACTCCCAGTGCCATCGCAGCTGAGCAAGAGCCAGAGCGAGTGCCGGACAAAGATCCCACGCTAACGTGGGTTTGCAAACAGAACCTCATTGTGGGGCTGTTGGGGCCAACGGGGCAAAATGTTCTGTGGTGCCGTCAGTGCTAAAAAGTTATCTTAATAAAAGTCCATTATGCTATATGCAATGAAAAATAAGTTTTGTTGACCAGACAGATCAAGTGATCTATAGCAGTTCTCACAGATTTTTTTTTCTCCCAAACAGATTATTCACAAAAAGGTTTTCAAAATGTTTATTTATTAGCATTTTTGCTGAACACTCTGGAACATTCTGGAATCCACTGTCACTATAATGTATATTATATATCTTAATATATAACATATGTCCTCTATCTCTTGTTTCACATTGCACATTGACACATTACTATGGAAAGGTTGTTCTTTTATTTAAAAACTACTGACTAATTTGCATATACATTACTTAATGAACTACATTTACCTTATATACTTATATACCAATTAACTATCTTCTTCCTGGAGGAAACTTCAATTTTTACAATAATATAGAAGGAAATGTATTGTTTTATCAAAGGCAGAAATATGGCAGTTTGTATCATTGTATTAGCTTGAAAAGAATCAAACTGAAGACTGATTGCTTTTTGAGTCCTTTGATTAGACTTACTGTGGCGCAGCTACTGCCACATGGTCTGTATTTCAGTTGCTTGTTTCTCCCAGAAGTGATTTCCATGTGGCATCATGCATGGCTGCCTGGCGTCTGTCCTCTTTCTGCTCTGCTTTGTTCCCAGCATGCCTCAGTTGGTGGCGTATAGCACACGGGCAGAGTTACCTTTAGAGTAATCGCGGCTGACACGGACCGGCACTCCGGTTCCCAGCAAGGGCGTCAGAGCACGTCGCTCTGCCGATGCCGTTAAATATGAGAGATGACACGTCCTCAGCGGAACCAATGGGACATTTAATTACTATCAAATAAAACACTCTCCCTTACCTTCCTTCTGAGTCCCTCCTCCGTTAACCCTGGACAAGGAGGCTAAGTGTCTGTCAGCTTGCTATGGGCCATTTGGCTGATCTACCCTCTGTTTTCTTTGAAGGTGGCAGACTCTGGGATGTGGATGCACACTTTTATGGATCCATATACATGTTTCAAAATATAACTTCATATTCAAAATATAACTTGTTTTTTATCTGAGTTAGGGATATTCAATTGCTGTCCATGCTGACAGTTTGGAAGATATATTTCTATATATTGCTGCTCGTTTTGGAGCCTCTGTCATTAATGCTTAGAAAAGCTGTATTTATATGTCTTGAGTAAAGCAAGGTGTGTGTTATCTATCATACTGCATGCTGCTATGGCATTACTCTCCTCTGTCTGCGTCGCCAGTTAAAGCAAGGCATGCAATATTTGGCCATCTTATTTTCCTTTTGCAAAATTTGAATTCAGTACGCTGTTACAGTAAGTCATTTAAAATGTCATAGCAAGCAGTCTGTGTTCTCCAGGTGTGAATAAGCAGACTAGGTAACAAAGCAGAAACAGCAGTGCAAAGCATTTCAGTTCCAGAACTCGTGAGGCCCAGTTTATAATTAAATACAGATTACTGTAGTGCACATTACATGGGAACGGGGCCAGTTTAATTCGACCACTATGTAAAAATATTTTATTGGACTGTTTGAGAGGATATTGAATTCATTAACAGCCACCTTCAACAGCAGAAGCAAATCCTGGCTCATTACGATACATTATTTCTGAAATTGATTTCTCACGAGGAAATGGTGAGTGAAATCCCTTTGTAAAACAGTGACTTTCCTCCCCTCTAGGAAGATCCTAGCAGACCTGCAACTATGTGACCCTAGTACTGTGAAGACGCATGTCAGAGAGGCGTCCCTTTGGACATTTTAAATAGGACTCTTACCAAAGTCAGTGATTGTCTATTAAACTTACTGGAGCTCTTCTTTGTGTCCTGAGTTCTCTGGCTCCTGGCTCATCATTACCTGAAACCAGATAAGCATTTAATGATGGATAAATAGACAAATGGCTAGATTGATGGACAGATGGATTTTTCTGTTGCTGTCCATCTATCTGTCCATCTTCTAGCTAATGATCCAGTACAGGGTCACAGGTATGATCATGTCTTTAAAATAACTGATTTCATTCACAATTAAATGGATTTTTTTCTTTCCTTTTTGTGATTATTCTCAAAGTTTAGAGTAGCCTATACATGATATGAGAATTTTGATTTGGTTAAAAGTCAGTTTATTGGAGAATATAATCTTACCGCGTTTTTTTATATTTTTAATCTTCTTTCAGAATTTACAGGTGAAGTGGTTACTATTCATGGCATCAGTCATATTTCTATTAGCTTTTATATTTCCCCGGACATTATTTATAGATGCACCCCTGCTGAAGGACACAAAAAACAGGCACAACACCAATTAAGGCTGCAGCACAACGGATGCTTTGTATTAATCTCCTGCTGGGAAGGAAGCCTCAGGCTTGAAAGCATCGTTTAAAATTAACCAGGTGTATTAGGCAACCACAACAGAGCAGGGTGTCATCCACCTCTCAGTATGGTTATTCATTTCCTGCTTCAGCACAAAACATTAAGAATTAAAGGAATAAAATGGGAGGCTCCCTCAAGCCCTAAGAGATGCTCTAACTGCTTAAGTGGAGTTTAGCACAGTTGGCAATGAACTAGGATGCTGTTAAGTCGGTGGCAGAGTGGCCAGGCTCTCTGTCCGTGTTCTGTGTCATCGCATGGGCACTCTGGCACCTCTCGCAAATGCTGCCTTATAATTAAGGGGCTCTTACATCATATTTAAAATATTAAAATATTGTGTGTGTGTGTGTGTGTGTGTGTGTGTGTGTGAACTTGAAATTCCACGAGCCACAAAATGTTTTAATTTTCATTGAAGTGTGTCTACTAATTAAAATTCAATTAAAGCTGTTGTAAATTGAGTTGTTTAAGTGAACTAAATGGTCACGGTCACTGTCCTGATTCATTCACATAACAATTGATTGTCCATTTCCTTCTAAGAGTGCACTAGAAGTTTGGGTCTGCCTACATATGCGAAAAGACTTTCTCGCGGCTGATGTACATTAAACATAAATTCAGATCATGACTAATCATGGAGAATGATCTCTGAATGGCCGTCTCCAAAATTAAACTGGATTAGATTAAACTGAATTAGCCTGGATTTGTGCTCCAAGCACAGAGTCCACCCATCTCATTAGATAAGCTGAGCATTACGTAATTGCTAGGCCTATATGAACTTTTATTTAATGTTGCGCCGATTCTACACAGATCCGCCTCTCAGCACCTGCGCCTTGGGGAGCGCGGCCCCCACATAGTGCGGCTCTCGCAGATACCGCTATGCTGATGCCAGGCCATGGACTGGTATTGGGGTGCTGCTGTTGCGCCTTTCAGCTTTCCACTTAGCATGGATTGCATTATGGATAAATGTGAGACTGTAATCTATGTAAAAATGGCTTCCAGGCAGTCCAAACATGATACTGAAGAATCATTCAAGCTTTCATATTGATGTCACAGCCAATGCATGGCTTATTTTTTAACCTAAATTTAACATTTTCCTATCCAAAATTTACACAGTATTTTCAATAATTTTGAATCATTACAAAGTTGACACGTGGGACAGGCTTTGATGGGAGTAGAAAACAGAGGCAGTAGAAAAATACATTTCAGTTTGACAAACTGTAATACATTCCCATGTCAATAAGTTCACACCAGCCAAGCGCCTCAGTGGCTGCAGGAACAGGGTTTGATTAATACACTCTTCTGCAAGCCTATTCATTATATTGATTAACCACCACAATACTGCACAATACTGCACAATAAATAACTAATACTTCACCATTCCATTGTGTTGTGTCCTGACCTGGGTCTGTTTTGCATATCACTGAATCAGTTATAATACAAATAAACAGCTAACATTTGCTTGAAATAGAGTTATTTGGAAGGCATTAATTGAAATAGACAAGAATCTCATCCAGGATGTGCTCTGCCTACCTGGGATAGCCTCTAATCTCACAATGATCATTCATTTAATAAGCAGTAATAAGGAATATGTATGGAAAAAGACATGTAGTGCTCAAAAAATGAACACCTTAAAATTGCTAGTTAAGTACTTCTCTTAAGCAGTTCTCTAGCATGTGAAACTAGTTTATGTTCATTGTGACAGTTACTTTGGAGTATGATTTGGAAGCTGATATTCCCGCAAAATTCTTTTTGTCTGCTGTAATTAAATTTATTGGGAGGATAAGGCTCAGCATTTTTGGATCCCATATGATCAGTTATCTGTGTATTCAGGCACTCTCTTCCAGTGAGGGATATCCAACAGTAAGAGGAAGCTCGCAAAGTGTGAGGCCAACTAAGTTACACTTCTTAGAGTTTAAGGACAGATGCTGGTTTAAAGGGCTGTCTCTTGCCCTCAGCAAACAATTAGCCAGAAGAATCCAGGAAAAAAGGTTTCCAACAAATAGTTTTTCCATATATTTTGACCAAACTATGTGTTTTAAAATAAATGTTATGTATTTAATTCAGCTTAATTTGCAGAGACATTACAAAGATGGAGTGGGCAATAAATGTAATTTTGTCATTTGTGTTAATTATTTGCGATGATGAATGCAACCATCATGTAAACACACACAGCGCTGTTGTGGTGAGATGGTAAATTTTACAGTGTCTTGGGGCTAATGACTGACACACTGCCAGGTTCCTCTTTGGATTAACAGCCGTCAATGCTCCTCCCACCCTACAGGTTTCACCGACGTGCAATGCTGTCCTGGTCAACGGCAAAGAAATAAGCGGCAAGCAGGCAGTACAAGTGAACTTTACCTTCCTGCACCTGAGCGCCCAGCTGGGACTCACGGTGTGGGCTCCCCGGCTGCCGCTGCAGATCGAAGTGTCGGATGCAGAGTTGAGCCAGGTGAAGGGCTGGAGAGTGCCAATCCTGGCCAGCAGGCGGTGAGTGGCCCTTCGCCTCAGGCTGCGATCCTGTCCCACCAGGCTCCATGCTCAGTACTCTGAGCTAATGAGCGTATAGTTTACAGGGTCAACATTCTCAGCCATCGTACAGAACCCCTGGAAGACAATCTGCTTGTATAACACTGTTCTAACACAAGATATGGGAATTGAATGGTTATTAATAGGATTTTTTTGCCTCAGAGGCATATCTGTTTCCTGGGGGGTCCAATGAGTTTCTGTATAATAGTGTATGCTGACTATAAGCAACCATGTGTTACAAAGCTTTAAAAATGTTTAGCCAAATATTTCCACCAGTATCGCAATAGATAAGACATCAAGCTGATTAACCACAAAGTGGCCAGGCAGTGTTGCTGCTAACGACAGTGGATTTCCCCACATTGCCATGACATATAGCACTGAATAATGCCACAAGCTCTGTTTCCTTAATCCCCCCGTGCTGCTCGCTGGCCGTGCCTGAGATGGCAGAGCTATTATATCCACCTCATGCTGCAACCTTGAGCCTGTCTGCTGGGGCCATTTTTCAATTTGGCCAATTTATGTTTTCCCGGCTTTAGAGAGAACCCTCCTGGTCTTTGTAGAGAGCAGCTCCATTTGCTCTTTGCTGAAGAGCATCTCTCCATGTTTCTGCTGTAGTGAATAGCTTCCCTTGTTCCTACAGAGTGGGGCTCTTCCTTTTGTCCCGGCCGTAGTGAGTAGTTCTCTTTGTCTCAGTGCTTAGCTCCCCTCTTTCTCACACTATTGAGCAGTTATCCTCGTGCATGTAGCTGACAGCTCTCCTTGTTCCTGCACCGAGCCATTCTCTTTAAGTCTGCAGTCAGCACTTCCACTTTCTTCAGAAACTGAGCAGTTTTACTTATGTCTGTAATTGGTCGCCCTGCTCGTTCCTGTAATTGGATGCTTTTGCTTGTTGCTGTAGTGAGCAGAGCTCTTTCTTCCTGCAGTGACCAATTCTTCCTGCCTGTGTAGTTAACGCCTCTCCTTATTTTTTTTTTAGTCAGTAGCTCTTTTTGTTGCTCCAGTGACCAGCTGTAGTGAGCTTCTGTTCTTATACCATGAAAAGGAAAGGTGATGAACTGAGCTCTTTGGTGACTTAAACTGAGTGTTTTGGTCGCTGTGACACTGTAAGAGCTGCTAACATGCGTTCCATAGATTAAGGTTAGGGAAAGTTACACTGCAGCTAAGCTCAATGTAACGGACACATTATAGAGTAAATAGAAAATAAGAAAATAGCATCTTGCTATTTTGACTGCTACATCAATCTAACAGCTGTACACTTACTGCCTGCTTCCTCCATTTTTAATAGCATATAAATCCAGCAGTCCTGTTACTGACCAATAGAGGGCATTTTTTGATCTTATACCCAATAAATTTTATTTTGCAATTTTTCAGACCCCTCAACATAATTATTCCTTAAAACCTTTACATTTTAGATACATTTAAATCGTACTACAGTCCAGATTGGAGGGGGGGATTGTAGTTAGAACTGAAATCCATTTTTTACATGTGTTGTACAGTATTGTTTCACTTTTGGAAAAATAATGGATTTCCTTAGCATATTGACATGAAAATATATCCATCCGTTTTTCAATCACTTATTCAGTAAGAATAATTCAGCATAATCGGGTTCATTTTTCTTAAATGTTGGAACAGTGTTCTTTTTTTCATGGAATATTTTTTATAATGTGTTTGTTTTATTTTGACAGCATTCATTTTTAATAGAATATGGGTGTAATAACTTATTTTTAACTATAATAGTACCTAGAGGAAAAGATGTTGAAAATGTCTTGCAGTGTTGCATCTCTATCAGCAGAGTAGCATGTTTAGTGGGCATTTATATATGCTATAATTATATAACATTCTTACAAATGAAATATTAATAAATGAAAAACAATCATATCATAATAATATTTAGGCTCATTAGTAGGGCCCAGTATGGTCAATACAACAGAGTAACCGGCCACAGCATGGTCACATGACCAAAAAGGGCTGTCAAGCAGCAAGTGTAACATAGTTGCCGGTGCTTTATTTAAGACATGGCACAGAGTGTGCTAACAGCAGCTCAGACCTGAGGTATAAAAACAAATTATACTAATATGAAATCATAAAACTCAAGCATTTAAATTTAAATTACATTACATTACACAAATATATTACAGTAATTAATTATGAGTGAATTATAGTTCTGAAATGAATAAAATGGCACACGGTGTATTGTGTTATAAATTAATTTAGGTAAAAATGAAAAATGAGTTAAGCTTTCTTTTGCCCTCACCCTTGCGACAGGGATGTACTTCAGGGTATGTAAATCCTGAAAGTGCTTAGCAAACTTTGCACAGATTTTGGTGTTAGTTGTACAATTTTTTTCCCCCCGAATATGACGTGTGCAATCTTCACATCTTGGGGTTATTTTCTAAGCCTTCAAAGCCAGCTGCCAACTCTGTAGCACTGAGCTATCTCAGGAAAAATCTGAGCAATTTTTCATGTTACCCTGTAACGAGTCAAGATGAGTGTTATGTAAGATCTTTTTGTGTTTTTGTGCGATGTTGAACACCATGGCTTCCCTGGTGTACTGCAGACCCACCCGTGACAGTGAGGATGATGAGGACGAGGAGAAGAAGGGCAAGGGCTGCACACTGCAGTACCAGTATGCCCTGGTGAGGGTGCTGACACACTTCGTGGCTGAGCCGGCCGAGCCGGGGGGGCAGCTGGCGTACATGCTGGGCCCCGACTGGCAGGCAGACATCACGGAACTGGTGGTGGACTACTTCAAAGTGGAGGACCCCCGCATCGCCAGGCTTGTAGACGGCAGGGTTCTGATGGGGAGGGACCTGGGCATCACCACCATTCAGGTATGGCCACATTCCTAAGGAGCAATTCTCTACACACACACAAAGTCACAGTCAATGAACAGATCAGACAATGAACTGCAATCTCATGGTGTTTCAGGAATTATTTTTATCTCATAGCACAAAACAGTAAGGTGTTCCTTTATCTTCCGACATCTATATATACCTTCATCATGACCCAAATAAGGCCCATGTGGTCAAAAAGATTTGTTTGCAACAACAAGATCACATTCAGAACTCTTAATAGCCTGCATTGTGTCTTCCAGTTTGTAGAATGGCATCTTCCATTTAGCCACATTTAAAAATTTGCACTTGTTTTGTTCTGTTCTGGTGGATAATGATTAAGAAACCGTACCCGTTTCAGTAAAAAACAGCATATCTAGCTGTTTAAATAAGTAGTAGGAATGAAATTCTGTAACTTGACACGGCAACTAGTAAATAAACAAAACCCGTTTTCATAAGCACTTGTACTCTTTTAGGTAAATCACAATAAACCTGAGTGAAAATGCTGTCATAAGCATTAAATATATGATCAGTATTTTGTTTTGCAAATACCTTCTGCCCAAGGCAAGGGACAATAAAAGATTTTCCACATTTTCACTGAATAAATAACTTTTACTTTAGACATCCATAGACAGAGAGCCTGAGTATTCTGCAACACAACTAAACAGAATAAGATGTCGCTCAGAATTTGCATTTATATTTCTGAAGCAAACTTTCTGTCCACGTTACTATTCCTGCTTTTCTGTATGCATTTTTTTTTGCAAAGGATTACCCACTGAGATGTACCTCCACAAATTGTACCCTTTGTAGTGCAAAGACAGTTTCTGATCTGCCTATTTTGCTGCAAGATTTTGAGTAACACACACAATCACCTAATGTGGACCATTTGCAATTTCAGAAGAGATGTCTGATTACCATTTATTAAAATGTTTAGAGTGAAAGGGAGCAGTACAACAAAATGCAAGAATTTGGTATAATGCAAAATTGTTTTCAGACTAAGATGACAGCCTTTGATGTCCACTGACATCTCAGAATCCTTGTGGTAACAAGCTTTTTTTCTTGTTAGCACTCTCTAATATGATGGTGTTTAAGAAATCCTGAGAGTACACATCTGTGCAACACAAAGAGGTTCTGACACGGGCCATTGCACTGTCATCAAATATCTTAATGAGGCAGGATGCAACAGAACAACTGTCATAAACATGCAGACACCCAAATGGCAAGACATATGATTAGTACAGTGTTTTTTATGTTCAGAAAATGCATTTATGAGGTTCCTTCTGCAGATTGTGCTATTAGTATACTTTAAAATTTAATGGTGAGCTAATGATGCTGTGGCATCGAGAAGGACAGAGTGAGCGTAATGATTGTTGCTTTCATGTTTCCAGGTGCTATCTCCTCTCTCAGACTCTATCCTGGCAGAAAAGACAATCACGGTGCTCGATGACAAGGTGACCATTACAGACCTTGGTGTGCAGCTGGTGGCTGGCCTGTCTCTGTCATTGCAGCCCAGCCTGGCGAACAGCCACACAATTGTGGCCACTACCACTGCCCTGGACTTGCTGCATTCTATCAAACAGGTGACCCTGTGTGTGTGTCTTTGTCTGGATGAGGTTTATATTACTTTGTGGGGACCAGATGTCCCCCACAATGTAATAAAAACCTTTTTTTGACATTGTGGGGACCATTTTTCAGGTCCCCACAAAGATCTACAGTATGAATACAATCAAAAAAGTAAAAATGCCAAAAGTTGTATTTTGTTTGGTTACTTATGGTTAAGGTTTGGGCTGGGTAGGGGTTCAGGTCGTCATGGTGGGATTAGAATTTGTCCCCCATAGGAATGAATGGAGAGTCCCCACAAAGATATAATTACAAACCTGTGTGTGTGTGTGTGGGTGGGAGTGTATGGGGGTTATTTATATATTATATTATACAGACCAATTTTTGTACAATGTGTGAAAAATCTATTATTTTGACATTGGGGGACCATTTTTTCAGACCCCATAAGGGGAAAGTCAATTTTATAAAAAATCTGTGACAGCAGTCCCCACAAAGATATGAAGATAAACGTGTGTGTGTTTGCACGTGGCCGTATGCTGCCTGTCAGTTTCTCATTTACTCTGACTTATTCAAAAATCCACTGGTAGATTTTTTTTTCTCATTCATACCAATATGTTATACTAGAGTTTAGTGATGAGTGTATTATACTATAGTGTAGTGGTGAAGGTGTTATACTATTGTGCAATGGTGAGTGTGTCATACTATAGCACAGTTACTATGGGGCTGTTGTGGCTTAATGGTTAGGGAAGCACACTTGTAATTGAAAAATTGTAGGTTTGAATCCCTGACCAGCAAGGCACCACTGAGGTACCCTAAGCAAGGCACTGCTCCCCGGGTACTGAATTAGTTGCCCCCTGCTACAGTATGTCATGATGCCACATATGGGTTAAATGCAGAGGACACTTGTTGTGTGCTGTGCTGTGCTGTGCTGTGCTGTGTCAACAATGACCACTGATCTCTAAATTCTAGTGCAGTAGATGAGGCTTTGTATGACATTTAATTGGTATTAAATGATGTACTGTCAGTTTTTTCTTCACTCACACCTGCAGGATTGGCACTTTGAATCCCGTCTCTGTTGTGTATGTTTGCAGTCTACATGTTTGTCCTGTGCTGTGTCCTCCTCCAAAGGCATGCAGTTCAGCTAATTGTGGCCTCCAAATTGCCCATATTGGGTGTATGTATGTGCTCAGTGATGGAGGGGCATCCTGTCCAGGGTGTACCCTATCCAGATGCCTTATGCTGCCTGGGCCAGGCTCGTGACCAGGATACATGGTTGGAATTCAGTTCAGTAACCTATTGCAGGGATTGTTCTCATAAGCTGTGGCTAGTTTAGAATGGAAGGAAATGCTACCTAATCGATAGGAAATCATAAGTAGAAACTAATATGAAATAATGAATTTGCTGAATGCTTTAGGTGTTTTGGTTTTAATATTATTATAGCATTTGATGTTCATTAAATGACATTATTTGAAATGATTAGTTAGGCCTAGAAAATAAGAAGTTTAAAACAGCTTCAGTTACACTGTAATATATTTTCTGTTTTCAGTAAAAATGTCTATATATCCCTCATATTGTGGCAAATTATGGAAATATAAGGTGCTGGCTGCAAGAAACAGGAAATCTATGTGTCTTATTAACCTGACATCCTATAGGAAATCCATAGTGCATTTAAGCACTGTGTGGCTGTATCCTAAAGGAAAATCTACAATGTAACCTTCACACATTGAATCCATTATAATGTTTCCAATACATTTCAATTAATTAGAGCAGTTTTAATTAAAACAGCTTTAAATGTTGATAGTGTAACACTTGTGATATTTAAAGGCATTTGGAGATTTTTAGTGTATGATAGAATAAAGATTTAAATTTTAAATCCATTCTATACAGTCCTTTTGGCAGAGATAGATTTTTTCTGCATATATATTCTGCATGTTTCGGTTCATTATGCAAATGTTTGCTGTTTTGTTTTTCACATGAGCCATATTCCATGGATTAATTTCCATGTCCCATGTTATTATTTCCATTAGCAGTTTAATTTCAAAAGCTGCGGCTTAGGGTTATAAAACTGAACGTGGTTCTCTCTATATTTAACCTTCCGTTCATGTTTCGCATTCATCATCTCATTATCAGGGGAAAAAGAAATTGTTGTATCAAACACAGAGGTGTAATTACTTTTCTTGAAGCGTTTAGATGTTACTCATTTTTACAAGGCTGTTTGATGAAAAGAACTGATGGTGTTGTGCTTTTTATCTTGGGAAATTATGAATTTGCATAGACTTAAAGGAAAAAAAACAATGTCTAAATTAATGAATAGGAAGTTGGATGAAAGGTTATTTTATGTTGACTGCAGTGGATTGTTGATTTACAATCAAGGAACATACTGTGTAATTGAGCCGGAAGATGTCATATCTTCTGTACAAATAACGAAAACTACCAAAGGTTGTTAGAAAGCCTTGCTGATTCAGAACACCATACACAAAACAGTGTTACTTTGAAATGCTGATGTACATTCTGACATGGCCTCCTGATTTTCTCCACAGGATGCTGTAATTAGCGCTTGGATCCAGTTCAGTGATGGCTCTGTGACACCACTCAGCATCTACGACTCCAAGGATTTCACCCTTACTGCTACGTCCTTGGATGAGAACATAGTATCCACCTACCAGGAGCATCCACTGAAGTGGCCAGTGGTGGTGGCCGAGGGGGAGGGCCAGGGTCCTCTGATCAGAGTGGAGATGGTCATCTCTGAGACCTGCCAGAAGTCTAAGAGGAAGAGTGTGCTGGCGGTGGGCACAGGGAATGTCCGCGTGAAGTTTGGGCAGAATGATGTGGATCTCAGGGGCACAGAGGAGGAGGATAATGACAACCTAGACAATGGGACCAGTGATCGCAGGCAAAAGACCTCAGAACTGGACAAGGCCAATCCTGACAGCTGGAAGTACAACAGTGCCTCCTCGGACCGTGAAGAGGGGGCTATGAGAAAGGTCAGCACTACCACCAAGACCACAATTACAAGCCATGCTGGGGGCAGCAAGCTGGCAGGAGGCACTGGGGGACAGGGTGTAATCATCCCTGTGGACCTCACCAGCTTCCCTGCGCAGGTGGATCTTCCAGGTGGAGCTGAAAGCAACCTGTCCCATGCCAGTAGAGGGTTGTCTGACCTGGAGATTGGGATGTATGCCCTCTTGGGTGTTTTCTGCTTGGCCATCCTAGTCTTTCTCATCAACTGTGTGACCTTCGCTTTCAAGTACCGGCACAAGCAGCTGCCAGTGCTGGAGCAAGGAAACATGAACCACGCCCATGACTGGGTGTGGCTGGGCAATGAAGCGGAGCTCCTGGAGCATCATAGGGACACGTCCCCTCAGCCGGATGAGTGCACCACCATCATCGACCGTGGCGATGGCTATGAGGAGAGCAAATACCTGCTGAATGGTGGAATTCAGAAGAACATCCAAGGCCAAATCCATCGCCCTGCTGACCAAGGGCCCTGCAATGGCAAAGACCCCAAGTCCGAGTTGCTCAACAACTCGCCCAGCGCCAAGCGCAAGAGGGTTAAGTTCACCTCATTTGCCACCATCCTTCCAGATGACGGGGGCCCGTACACCAACTCCATCCTAATAGGCAATGAAGATGACATCAAGTGGGTCTGTCAGGACATGGACCTAGGGCAGTCCGCAGAAATCAGAACGTACATGGAGAGGCTACAAGACAATCTGTAACGGGGGGAGTGACACGTGATTTTAACTCACCTATAATGCCTTTTGTTTTGAAAAAAGTAGAGAATGTTGAAGTGAAAGGGTGGGGGAATGTGACCGATACGTAGGAAAAAGACTGAGAGAAGGTACACTACTTCTCAACATTATATGATGGATGGTGAATGTGGCCATTTCCTCGGAGACAAAATGACAAACAAGAAACAACAGGTAGATGGATGACGGACATGAAAGGAGTCTTGCAAAGAGCAAAATAAGTGATACAAAATCAAAAAAGTATTTTTTATTCAGGCATATTTTTTTTTCCATTAAGTTTGTTTAAGATTTTGGTTATTGACTTTATGATTTGTACTTGTTCCTGAAACACATACACGGACAATTGGACATGTGTATACTAACTATAGACCTTTTCCAGTGAAGGGTAGTAAAACATAAAGGACATTAGAAATGTTACCAGGAAAACATGAGAACATGGCAATAGCACTAGAGCCCTTTTACTCTCCTTCTTTTTATTCACTGTAACCATTCGCACCTTTGTGTATATCCACGGGTCAAGGTCAATGCAATGTATTGTATTTCATTGTTAAAATTATTTATTTTTGTAATATCTGATGGCATTCTGCTCAGCATTCCAAAAATGGAATCTTGAGTGTGGAACAGTGAGACTTTGGCCTAAAATGAATCCTCCACCAGTGAAAGAAAACTGTAGATCTGCCAGTGAGAAAACAACTGTGTACAAATACGAGTTTTATTTCCCAGCAAACAGTAGTGCAAATGAGACCAAAATGGCATAGAAGATAAGTGGACAAAGTTTCAATGATGTGGTGGAGGCACAGTGCTTGGGAAGCCTACACACCTCCACCTGGCATGGAATGTACAGTGAACATATTTGTACTGAACTACTGCATTGTGCATATCCAGTAGTGCAGTGCCCCCAACTGAAGCTGGTGCAGGAGCTAACGTGGATATTGGTGTTCTGCCAGTCTCCATGAGTCTGGTCAACAACATCAAAGCTGCAGAACTAAAGAAACTGGGATAATTGTAAAAAAAAGACTACTAGCCTCTGGATCTCCACGATGGACATATCAAGACACAAACTGCACCACCTGCTTGCAGGAATGAAAATAGAAAGGTCATTTTTTTGGAATAGTTTAGCAGTTTCCCCTAATGCCACCTGAACCCAAGAAATGAAAGCAGGACCCTATCCTGAAAGTGAACGAGGACTGTCTGTAGGTCACCTATGGCTGTATGTGTTCACATTCTCCTTGTCAAGGTGTGCAGCCTTTAGTTGCTCCTTCATCCTGTTTTAAAGACTTCCCTACATTTTAAGTTTATTTAACTGTTTTACCTTAATCGCAATGTGTTCACCTGCTTCTGATCACTTATATTCGTATGCCACAGGCTGGCATCTCCAGTTCTCGAGAGTCACAAGGTATGCATGTTTTTTTCTATTAATTCTGTTAGAATTAATTAGCCTTGACTGAGCTGATTGAATGGATGGCATGATGCAAATCACATTAAACCAACCCTATAATTTTTCAATTATGTGAAATTGGAGTTCAGGCAATAGTACACCTGTGCAGGATAGATGAATGAAGCCAATCTTTGGCCCTTAAATAAATCAGTCAGATTATATCCATTATTTCAAATATTCTGGTTAGTTAGCTGCTTTTTGTTATTGATTAATTGATTATTTGATTGATTTATTGATTGATTGAATATTAAATTCTGTGATAATGTACTCTAGGTTGAGCAAATTATCGCAATGAATCAAATTATGAGAAAATAATACATTAACACAAACAGATCAGTGAGAGATCTCCCATCTGTAGACTTACCCTTCTCTAACGTAACATGATAAAAATACAGTAGAATCATTTCTGCTATAACGCCACAAATGTGTTTCCCCCAAACCTCACATTATACAAAACGATGCAATATAAAAAGGTTTATAGAAAAATAGGGTTAGACCCAGAGCACTCAAGAGCTAAACAAGCCGGTAACCATTATGGTTAAAACACTTCATAGGATGAACCATTTCTTCAGGTGTCAAAGTTTATTCTATGTGCAACTTTATAAGTTTCGCAGATACTTTTCTGTTGTTTGCTTGTATTTGCAGCCATGTAGTAGATTTTGTGAAAATAAGTAGGGGCATGTATGTTCCCCATGCTCTATGATAATTTGGCACGATTCGGCTGCGATTCAATACTATTTTGATCAATATAAAATGTATTGAATGTTCATATTTATGAAAGAAAAACATAAATCCAATCATATTAGTTTTGCACAGCAAAAATCATTTGGCTTTAGGTAAGTGAAGTTGATCGTAAGATCTTGATATGAAAACAGATTATGTGCAATAATATTCAGTAATAGTGTCAAGATGGGTGTATCGATTCATGACATCTTTATCATCTTTATTGTTTTTGGCTGATTTCCTTCCTCCTAAATTTCGGCTGGATTGGAGATTTTGAATTGATGCAGCTGCATGGTTGGACTTGGGCTGGATGTGCGATTCAAATCACTTTTTGCTTACACCCATAAAATAGCACTTCCCAAGCAAAGCTAACTGAAGGCTCACTGAGAATGCAGTGCTTTCCTCTGTGGGAAAGCCAGCAGAGATCTGCAGCTTCCATCTGCTCCTCTTTCATAAATTGCATATGCCGCAATTCACATTGTGGGAACAGGTGTAATAGCAAAGCTGCCTATACCAGTATTTCCCAACCCAGTCGTCAGGAACCCACAGACAGTCCACGTTTTTGCTTCCTCCCAGCTCACTGCCAGACAGTCCACATTTTTACTCCCTCCCAACTGCCTACCTGGGAGGATTGGGAAATACTGGCCTATAGGGAATGAAAATGGTATGTACCCTTCAGCCAGCACATGCTGACTTATGTGAATTTTATTAAATTAAATTCATTAAATCACTGGACTTATTACAAGCTGAGAATCAGCACACCTTGTATTTCTCATGGACTGGAGCGCCACGCTTCATATATGTGTGGTGGGTCTTCTGGATGTTGCTTCTTTATGTAACTTTATGTAATTATATATTCACTCGTGTAATTACTTTGGAATCTTACGTGTTTATTTTTTGTTTAATGGCTTAATGATGGTAGTCCTAATATATCACAGTCACATAACATAATTAGTGCTATAAAATAAGATCCAGAACACATAACATACCATGTACAAATACACATTTATATTAGGACTTTCATGATAAATGTGTTAAATCGGCACAATTAATGTAAATGAGTAAAATTCATTAAAGCTTTTCTGTTCACATCTCCCCCCATTTATCTCACCATTTACATGACCTGCTGTCCCCCGAAAAGCTCAGGTGTAAACCAGTATGCATTGTAGATTATAAGAATGTAAGATGTGTTCATAAATATTATCCAGGATTTGTTGTAAATAGGAAATTGCTTTACCTGTGTATTTATAATGCAAGCTAGCACTGTTATTGTTAATTTTGTACCCGTGTAGTGTGAATCAAATCAACAAATAAGCACCAGTGTAATATTCATATAGCAAACTCAAAACAGGTATTATTAGCTAAATGAGTTAAGGTCGGATCATTTTATATTTTTATTTTTACGAAAGCCAACTGATTAATTGTTCTAAATAAACCATTAATTATTCTGGCCTACAGGCAGTTGACACATTAGTTTTTGGCTGTTACCTATAAGGAAATCGTACAGCTGGGTGGAATGAATACAATTAGTTTTGTGTAATCTGATGGATGCTTATTGGTTGTCTAGCACAAAACCTGAAACCCACTGGTGATCATAAACACAGCCACTGGACCTACATTCGTACTGGGGAAGGTGACCCACTGTCCACTGATTCTTCCTTTAGCAAATCTTTTATTGACACCACAGCCAATGATGGTGATCTAATTTAAAGTGGTAAAAATGGTGAAGCACGTGTGGCGACGTCATGGCATTATTTTCATTATGACATCGCACAAGTGACGGCTTTCACCCTCAACAATCATGGGGTGCAGTCAGGCAGACAGCCAGCTCCCAAGCCATTCGTGGAGACACAGCTAAAAGGGAACATCTTCTGCTTTATTCCAGAGGTGAACATAATAAATATGGCTTTTCCGCTGTGCAGGACAAAAAGGACACATTTCTTGGGTCAGAGAAGGAGATCATCATTTTTTTCTGTGATTTCACCCAGTTTTCATATTCCCCTTTTTGTCATCAATTTATCTTGTCCTTTTTTGAAATGTCATAACATGTTTTGAGGTGCAAGGGAATGTGGAGCTGGAAAATAAAAGATGTATATGTATATAAGTCCTAGAAAAATACTCTTAATTTTGTTTCAGTCATCATTTGTTGTGTGGGACTCATTTTTGTAAAATTTGTATGAACAGTATAAGGGGAAATTTAATTTATGCATATTTTCTTTATTTCTTGCTTGAACACTTATAGAAAATCATTATAGCCTTGACAAACAATTCCCCCTACACCTCTAATTGTGCTCTGCTTTCATCTGCTTCTGTTAATTTATCCTCCAAGTCTGTGGGGCTTTCTTTACAGAGCCCATGAAGTGTAGTGGTTCAGGAAACAAACTTTCATTTATCAGGTTAGTGGTTCAAGTTCCTTGAAATTACACTAACTGACTACAGAAGTATGTTCAAATGTTTAAATATGTAGCGATTCAACCGTAGATGTTGCTGTGAAATTGCAATAATAATGCCTGCTGGTCAGGGTGTTCCTTGCATGGTACCCCTTCTTTCCTGGGATAGGCTCCAGGATTAAGCAGTTATGGAATCTACATGGATGGATAGACGGTCTGTAGGTAAGAAATACGATAAACTGCAAGCAGAGCAGGGACACACTGACTCCTCCTCTGACACTGTGGGATCCAGGCTGCAGCATCAGTAGTGGGCCTCTGCTTTAGCTACAGGCTCATGGGTCCTGGATGAGAGAATTAGCACAAGTGACAGCTCGATTCATCAGGCCCCCGCAGTGCACCAGATCTGTGTGTCGGACGGCTTTGGGCTGGTGGAAGGAGGAACACGTTTATTCTCTCTTTTGCTGTCTAATACATTTGTTCACACTGTTCTTTCCATTAAAACAAACACATTTATGTAGTACAATACAGCAGTATCACAGGAAGTTTTATGTGTATATTTTGAGTACACATTGGGACTCACAAAGATAACCTTGCTGTATATATTAAGTTCTTTCCTGTGAACTTTGAGCTTTTTTTGCTGGTGTGTCCAATGTATGACTCTCAGTACATTTAGAGGCATTGCTATGTTAATCTACAGTTTTAGCTGTGTGTTTCTGTATTTATATAAAAGTAAAGAACTTCCTGTGAACAGCTACAGAGGAATGGAGTGGTTCTCTGTCAGAGCCTGGTTGCTGATGCTCATGTTTTCCTCAGTAGGGTATGAGGTGTTGGCCTCCTCAGGAATGCCGACTGGGCTGGCAGAAGGGTAACACTCATTTATGGTCCCAGTGTCCCTGTCCAGAAAGCTGGAGGGTGGATGTTTCACCCTTTCAATGAACACCCAGCCTCCCAGTACAATTAAACACACTGCATGGGTTCCAGTCAGTCCCAATGCAAGCTACTCCTTAAATGTCCAAATGATGTTAGTGAGTTGAAATTTTACACATGGTGATCAGTGCTGCACACTTACATGTGAATTGGCACATGACCTGATCTCTTTGGTAGGAAGAAGAAGTATGCTCTTGTTTTTAAGAGAATATCATTTTCTGAAATTCACAACATGTTTTTATGTAGCAGATTGCAAGGATCCCTGCAGTGTCGCAAAAAATTGATAGCATCTTTCCCTGTAACGGCAAGTTGTTTGCTGCAGACTGTATGTAATGTTGTTGACTGCACGTCATACTGTATGTGTCTTTTTTTAGAGCTGAAGATCTCTGACAGGCCTATTAAAGACAATACTGTTTAAATAAATACGCAAACAAATAGACCAATAAATAAACCTCCAATTTAGTCCTGCAAAGATAAGTAACAACCTCATATTCTAATCTAAAAGAACATAAAATGAGAAAACAGGGAAGAAAAAACACCCCCTACTATTTTTTTTGTCCCGAATGAATTCTTAATCAGATAACTAGGAGAGACCTCATGCAAGGGCTATTTCAGGACAACAATCCCTCTGTTCAATCCTTCTTCTCTTCTCTTCCTCTGAAAACAAAATAAATGGCTCTGTTTCCTTTATGCAGACAGTGTTTCTCCTTAAAACAAATTCCATTCCAATTTAGTGGCTCCCATTAACATGTGTTCCCTTTGCCGCCTTGATTTACTGCGGATATCAGATACATATTGCCAACGAAGTGAGACATGCAACCTTTCATTTTCGAGCCATCGCCTTCCAAATTCGACATGCTACATTAACAAGAAAAATGACTGCACCGACGAAGCCAGGAAACGGCCTGTGTCTTCAAATGACATTTGGTTTTCATTTCACTTTCATTACTGAATGCTGCCTTTGCTGGTGGTGCAGAGTGATGACTGGAAACAGACACCAGGTACCTTATATGAATTTCTGAAGGAGACAGTTAAGGCTTGAAATTACTAGTTAACCTATGGACCAATGTGCTTGTATGTCAACTGCTTTACAAAATATGCTATACGTCTAGAAAAAAAAAAATTGCTCAGTTTTTTAGACATTATGCTTAAAGGTAACCTCAGTACTAAAGTTGTAAGGAAATATGCAACAAATTAATTATAAAGGTATTATTACTCCGTGTAACTGTTGAGGAATGCTACTCTATAGTAGAAGATAACCAATGCAGGATGTATCTGAAGGACGGCATTCTGTGCATTAACATGCTACTTTTATATTTTATTATCATTTTTACTGACCAACAGTGCTGATTTTGATGGCTTCACCACTAACAGAGTAGTTAATTCCCTGAAATCATAACCAAAATATTTCTAGATTAATGCCCAGGAGGAAGTTGTGCTGTTAACCTAAACTGTTTCAATGAAAATTTCCAGGACTGGGTTATGTTTTCTTTAGATATATGTTAAAATAAAAAATGGAATTTAAGAAGTTCATTAGCCCTCCTCATGTGAGTGTGTCCTTATTCCTTAAACTTCATGTTATTAAAGCTCTACATCTGCCCATTGACAAAATCATATATATCTTTGTTTATATTAATCATTACTTATCACACCACTTGTTTTTCTTAGCAATTCAGTTTACATATTTAGCTGTACTGGCGATTACCGGGGTCGTAGTAATTTCAGATCTGCAATCTTGGCAAAGATTGCTTTTCATTTTATTTATCAGACACCTTTACCCAAAATGATATACATTTCTTTGTGAGATCAGAGTCAGTCACACACCCACCCCTTCTGTTGATTTCCTTAGCATTGTATTCCACTGATGACCTGTGAATATCAAGGCAAGTTGTGGTTTAACTGTCTTGGATCAAAAGCATGTGGAATATTAATCATTTTTAAATAATGTTAATACCACCATCAATTTGTATAAATATACCAGCCCATTTATAATATAAAGATAATATTTATATTTGGGCTCTCTACATCCACAACCTTTTGACCAGGTCACAGTACTGTAGACTTAAGAATATACACTCACCTAAAGGATTATTAGGAACACCTGTTCAATTTCTCATTAATGCAATTATCTAATCAACCAATCACATGGCAGTTGCTT